TGATGATGATGGATGATGCTGACAGATGATGATGATGGATGATGATGGATGATGATGATGATGGATGATGATGATGGATGATGATGATGATGATGATGGATGATGATGATGATGGATGATGATGATGATGGATGATGAATGAATGGATGATGATGATGGATGATGATGGATGATGATGATGATGAATGATGATGATGGATGATGATGATGAATGAATGGATGGATGATGATGGATGATGATGATGGATGATGATGATGATGATGATGGATGATGATGGATGATGATGAATGATGCTGATGATGATGATGGATGGATGGATGATGATGGATGGATGGATCATGATGGATGGATGATGGATTGATGGATGGATCATGATGATGGATGGATAGATGATGAATGGATGATGATGATGGATGGATGGATCATGATGGATGGATGATGGATGGATGGATGGATGGATGGATGGATGAATGGATGTTTAGACACTCAAAAAGGCCCTTCCTGTCATTCTTATCCACTGACCATCCTTTCTCCATCTACCCCAGTGGAGAGAGTGGAGCTGGGAAGACAGTGGCTGCCAAGTACATCATGGGCTACATCTCCAAGGTGTCTGGCGGGGGCGAGAAGGTCCAGGTGAGGAGAGAAAAGCAGAGGGACTGGCTGGGTTTCCCCAGCTGCACAGTGGTTCATCCCCACCCCCAGCCCCCTGACCCAGATTGACCTCTTCCCTCCTGCCTCTGCCCCCAGCACGTCAAGGACATCATCCTGCAGTCAAACCCACTACTGGAGGCCTTTGGCAACGCCAAGACTGTGCGCAACAACAATTCCAGTCGTTTTGTGAGTCACGCAAAAACCCCAGCTACACACACACACACACACACACACACACACACACACACAGTATAGCCAGGACCACAGCCCTGGAGAAATCCAGCTGGAAACACCTACTTCTGTTTGCTACTTCACTTTCTGTTTATGGTCCGTTTGAAAAAAGGCTCCCCATTGGAAGAACTGGAGAGGCCATGACAGCTCTGTGTAACATTCTTAAATACTCCCTTGGCTACAACCATGCTACCTCTGTTCCTTTCACATTTCAGGTCCAGTTTATTCCCACATTCATTCTTTCTTTCTTGAAACAAACACTTTTTGGGGTTGTGGGTTTTTTGGTTTTTTTTTATAGCCTGGCCCAGCGGAAGACAGAATAGGGAAGCAGATCTGGATTTATGACTGAATTCCGGCACTATTTAGCTGTGTAGATTTAGCTGTGTAGCCTGGATGAAAAAAAAAAAATGATACAGTCTCCTGAGGTTCCTCTATTTTTTTAATCCATAAAATAAAGTTGGTGTTAATATCAGTCTCATAGACCTCAGTAATTTCAGTACAATGCCCGCATGTGGAAATGGCCTGACCATTTTCATTTCCCTAAATATTCTTATGTTATTTTAAATATATTTTCATACAATTACATTTTAAATATTTGTCCTGTTTTATAATTTTTTTCAAATACACATAAAAATTGAAAGAGCATTACAGTGAACACCTGTGTGCCCATGTCTTAAACTCTTATCACTAACATTTTACTACACAGGCTGAACACATCTAATCTGGAAATCTGAAATTCCTCAAAATGTGGAAGTATTTGAACATCACCATGATGCTACAGTTGAAAATCCCACCCTTGACCTTGTGTGGCCAAATCAAAACACAAGCACACGAAAACAGTGAATAAAATCACCCTCAGATCTTACATATAAGTCGTGTATGAAATATTATTCCCAAGATATGTCATGATGTGGATGCAAGTCTTTCAAAATCCAAAATGTGAAACACTTCTGATCTCAAGCATTTTGGCAAGAGACTCAACTGTTACTTGCTTTACACATCTCTATCCACTGATATTTCATTGACATATCATAACCTTACATATTTATAGGGACCACTTTATAGTTTTGGTACACTGTAAAGTAATCAGATACTACCCTTCCCCCCCAAAAAAAAAGTCAGCATGCAGACCATTAATTTTTGTCCAATATAAATTTGCAGCTTTTAGTTCTTTGTTTCTTTTCCTTGTTTTTTTTTTTTTTGTCCAGTACCGGGAACCAAACTCACGACCCTGCGCTTGCCAGGCAGGCGCTTTTGCCGCTGAGCTAAATCCCCAGCCCCTTTTCCTTGTTTTTTTCTGTGCAGCTTTATTTCTTTGAAAGTAACACTTGCATACAAAAAACAGATTTACCTGAAGTGGACCACGCTGAGTTTGGACAAGTGCATACCCCTGTATGTCCCAGACCCCTGTCAATATACACACCTCCACGTCACGACAGAAAGTTCCTTCTTGTCCCTTCCCAGTTCGTCTCTACTCTCAACCGCAGGAGTAACCACTCTTCTGGTTTAGTTTTTGCCATACCCTGTACTAGCTTTACCTGTTCTAGAGCTCCGTGTAAATGGAATCACACAGTCTTTCCTTTCAAACTATTAATACACAGAAAGACAAAGACACAGTACACACTTTATGTTATGCAGTTTTCGCATACAATACAGTATGCAGTGTTTACCTGGAGAGGATGCTGATGTACTTTGTATTATTAGATGCAGGTGGATAAAAGTGGTAGAAGAGGAAGTAAGGGGTTTTTCTGCCCTCTCACCTCTGGCCAGGGCAACATCCAGATGATGTTAGGGTCGAAAGAAAGGACTCGTAAGGCACCTGTCTGGGCTGAGGAAGAACACACGGGAGACACCCAAGGACCACTAGGGTCCACAGCATCCCACACGGACATGACGCTCTCTGTGCTGTGCTGGAGGGATCTGGGAAGTGCCCAGTAAAATGTGATGAACATGCAGGGTGCACGCCTATAACCCCAGCTCTTAGGAGGCTGAGGCAGGAGGATCACTGTGAGTTCGAGGCCAGCCTGGAATTCATAGTGAGACCTTGTCTCAAAAAAAAAAAAAAAAAAGATGTACACAGGGCTGGATGCCTCGAGTGAGAACTTGGAGACTCAGAGGGATGGAAAGGGTGGGCACCGCTGGCCAGGGCACCGCTGAGCTAAGGCTCAAGAGAAGCCGCTGGTGAAGGCAGGCAGCCAGCGGGAGGTGAGGACAGAATGGCTGCTTAAGCCCAGCTCATCACACCCAGGCCTAACCCTTGCCCAGCTGCACTCCGGGGCCTGGGGGCCGACACGATGCTCTCTGGGGTGCAGGGCAAGTACTTTGAGATCCAGTTCAGCCGCGGCGGCGAGCCGGATGGGGGCAAGATCTCCAACTTCCTGCTGGAAAAGTCGCGCGTGGTCATGCAGAATGAGAAGGAGAGGAACTTCCACATCTACTACCAGGTGCGGAGGAGGAGGGGCCCTGGGTCGCCCGAGGGCGGGGGAGGTCCGGGGAGACACAGTCCGCAGGCACCAGCATCTCTCCGCCCTCCAGCTGCTGGAAGGGGCTTCCCAGGAGCAGCGCCAGAACCTGGGGCTCATGACGCCTGACTACTATTACTACCTCAATCAATCAGACACCTATCAGGTGGACGGTACGGACGACCGGAGCGACTTCAGTGAGACCCTGGTGAGCACGGGCTGCCGCGCCAGCCCCGCAGCGGCTCGCTCTGCCCACGGAGCACTGTCATGATATGAATCAGGCGCGGCAGTCAGGCACTCAGACGTCTTCCCCCCCTGGGTCCGTGCTGTGGATGGAGGGGCAGGACGGAGGCCAAGACTGGCGGCACAAGCTCTGTCCCCGTTGTACCCGCAGAATGCCATGCAGGTCATCGGGATCCCGCCCGGCGTGCAGCAGCTGGTCCTGCAGCTTGTGGCCGGGATCTTACATCTGGGTAACATCAGCTTCTGCGAAGAGGGGAATTACGCCCGCGTGGAGAGCACGGACCGTGAGTGAGGGTGCCGGGGAGGGAGGTGGAGGCTGCTTCCCCTCATTCAGAGCCCATAACGGGACGAGGGAAAGGCAGGTGCCCGCGGGAGCCCCAAGAGCCTGACCAGCTACCCCCTTGTCCTGGACCTGGCAGTTCTGGCTTTTCCCGCCTACCTGCTGGGCATCGACAGTGGCCGGCTGCAGGAGAAGCTGACCAGCCGCAAGATGGACAGCCGCTGGGGCGGGCGCAGCGAGTCCATCAATGTGACCCTCAACGTGGAGCAGGCGGCCTACACCCGCGACGCGCTGGCCAAGGGGCTCTACGCCCGCCTCTTCGACTTCCTGGTGGAGGCGAGTGGGACCAGGGCTAGGGCTGCTGGGTGGCCTCGGACCAGCCAAGGGGAGGCAGCTGTCATCGTGTCACCAATTCCTGGCCAGGGGTGAGAGACGTTGACATCAGTGACAGGCATTGTCTGAGTTACTTCCTTTCCTCGCTGGGACAAAAAGCCAACACCCACAACATTGGAAGGAGAGGTTTTTTTGGGCTCATGTTCCAGCCCGTAGTTGGCTGGCTCCCAGGCAGTACCCAAGGCAGAGGGATGGAGGAAGAGAGCTGCTCCCTGTTTGATGGACAGGAAGCGGAGCCTGGAGGGAGGGGCCAGGGAGGGAGAAAGCCCTCCCACGCCACGCCCCCAGTGGAACCTCTTCCAATTAGATCCCACCGCCTATCACGATGACGTCAGCTCTAAGCCCCTATAATCCAGTCACCTTCCAGAGATCCCTGCCAATGAGCACGCGAGACTTGGGATGTGTAGGTATCAACCATAGCAGGGATGGAGAGGCAGATACATTTGAGAGCCACGCGGAAGGTTGTCAAGGAGATGAAGTGATGGCTGATGGGATGGGGCTGGAGGGGAACAGGATATGCCAGGACTAAGAACGATCACAAACACTGTGTAGCACTCAGTGTGCACGGTCCTAAGTGTTTTACGTGTGGCATCCTCAGAAAAAGCTTTGTAAGGTACAGGCTGAGCGTCCCTATCTGTAACTTCCAAATCTGAAACCCAAAATTTTTGAGTACCCACGGGACACCACAAGTGGAAAATTCCAACCATGACCTCACAGGCAGGGGTGGAAGTAGAAAATGTAAATGCAAACTGGGTGCAGTGGCGCACGGCTGTAACCCCATCCTCCGGGAGGCTGAGGCAGGAGGACCATAAATTCAAGCCCAGCCTGGGTAACTTAGCAATTTAGCAAGACCCTGTCTCAGAATTTTAAAAACGATTCTAAAGGACTGGGAAATGTAGCTCACTGTGAAGGCTCTGAGTTCAATCCCCAGTATCTGGGGAAAAAACACAGGTCAATCCAAAATAGTTTATAAAATGACCTTTGGATATAGCAAATATTAATAAATGTTGAGGCTAGGTAGTACCAAAATAAAATGACCTTTAGATTGTGTGGATAATGTGTGTGTGTGCCACAAAAGAATTCTGTGTTTGAACTGGGTTCCATCCCGAGATATCCTGAGATTTTATGCGTGTGTCTGTGTGTGTTCCCAAATCCTGAAATATTTTTGGTCGCAAGCATTTCTAATAACGGATACGCAGGGCTGGTGGTGTAGTTCTGTGGTAGAACCTTTGATAACATGAGCAAGGCCCTGGGGTCCATCCCTAGCACAACCCCCAAAAAAATCTAATAAGGGATTCTCAATCAGTAGCTGCTTACTGAATTAGTTATTTTTGCTGTTGTGGTGCTAGAGATAGAACCCAGAGCCTCCTGTATCTAGACAAAAGGTCTACCACAGAACTGCACCTCAGCCCAGTACTTGCTGTTATTCACCCATTTTAGAGATAAGAAAATTGAGGCACAGACAGGTTAAATGGCAGAGCCAGTTTCTGAGTCCCCAACACTCCAACAACACTTTTATGGGTGGCTGATTGGAAGGCAGGGGGACTGGACTCGGGGAAAGAAAGAAATTGGTGATAACATTGGAAGAGAGCTTGTGAACTTGGCTAACAGCTTCTCAAGTGGGTGGTGGGGCTGGGTGCTATTATCCACACCTGTAACCCCAGCTACTTGGGAGGCTGAAGCAAGAGGATCCTAAGTTCAAGGCCAGCCAGGGCAACTTGGTGAAACACTGTCTCAACATTTAAAAAATAAATTAAAAGGGCTAGAGGTGTAGCTTGGTGGTGGAGTTTCTGCCTAGCATATGTGAGGCTCTGGGTTCTACACACAAGACTGTTGGGGGAGTCATGGCTGTGACCTGCTGTCCACCCCCCTGCAGGCCATCAACCGCGCGATGCAGAAGCCACAGGAAGAGTACAGCATTGGAGTGCTTGACATCTATGGCTTTGAGATCTTCCAGGTTCAATCCCTGTACCCCAACCCCCGACCCACATCCTGTCCTCGGGGCGGCCCAGAGGACACCAGGACTACTAACTGGGGACCTTTCCTCCCTTGGCAGAGAAATGGCTTTGAGCAATTCTGCATCAACTTCGTCAACGAAAAGCTGCAGCAGATATTCATCGAGCTCACCCTGAAGGCCGAGCAGGTGGGCAGGGTACTCGGGGTGGCGTCAGACACTTCAGTCTCTGAGCCACAGGGACACTCCAGTATCCTGTTCCCACGCCACTCTACTTTTCCTTGTGTTGGCCAGCTTTCTGTCGCTGTGCTGAAATGCCAAGGGGAGAGGTGATCAGCTTATAAAGATTTATTTAGACTTTGCAGGTTGTGGTCCAAGGTCCAACAGACTCATGGCTTCAGGCCTCCGGAGCGGCACCTGAGGGGCAGATTGCCCACCTCACTGGGGAGAGGAGAAAGGGGAGGGACCAGAACCATCCAATCCCCTACAAGCCCACGCCCCCAATGACCTAAAGAGCTCCACTAGGCCCCACCTCCACCACCTCCAACAGCGCCACCCTGGGACCAAGCCCTCTACATCCAGGCCTTCGGGATACATGAGGCAGCAGACTCCACTGCAAGATTTTTCTCTAAATTCACTCAACAGTGACTAGCTGAGTGCAGTGGCAGGAACCTGTTGTTCCAGCTACTTAGGAGGCTGAGGCAGGAGGGTTAGTTGAGCCCTTGGTTTTTTTTGTTTGTTTGTTTTTGTCTTTTTGAGACAGGGTCTCGCTAGGCAGTTCAGGCTGACCTTGAGCTCACTTTATAGCCCAGGCTGGCCTTGAACTCGCAGCGATCCTCCTGCCTCAGCCTCTCGAGTTCTGGTATTACAGGTGTGCGCCACCACGCCCGGCTGAGCCCTTGGTTTTGAACTTGGGCAACATAACAAGACCCATCTCAAAAAAAAAGAGCCAGGCTTGATGGTGAAGAGACACACAGGATTCCATGCTGCGCTCTGGGGTGTAGCTCAGTGGTAGAGCACTTTCCTAGCGGCCATGATGGGTTCCACGCCCAGTACTACCCTCCAGTCCCTGTGGATTTGATTTTGCCCCTCCCGTAGATGCGCAGCCTGCTGCCAGGATACCGAAGCGAATGGTTTCCCTGGGAGATGATTCCAAGAGGTCCCTAAGGGGGCAGTGAGGCTGTGAAGCAGATTTAAGTTCAATTAAAAAGAGGGACACTAGGGCATTTATCCACGGTCTGATGTTAGTTTGGCAAAGGACCGGAAGTGGGGAGGAGTGCTGGCCACACCTCCCTCCCCAGCGCCCGCGCCCCTCTGCACCTCCAGGAGGAGTATGTACAGGAGGGCATCCGCTGGACCCCCATCGAGTACTTCAACAACAAAGTCGTCTGCGACCTCATCGAAAACAAGCTGGTGAGGGCTGGGCCACCTCTCGGGTGGGGGTCTCACCGCGGCTGAGCCTGGGAGATTCTGAATCGGGCTGTAGCACCCGGGCTCCGCCACCAGCTTTACCCTAGGCTCAAGGTCTGCAGCATAAGGCCACCAGCCAACACATCCATTGACTCTGCCCTCCTGCTTGTTTTTCGTGTATTCATTCAACAAACATTCCCCTCTTCGGGGTTGCAGAAGACAAACTTCACAAGTGTCCTATCACTAAGTCTCAGGAAGGGAAAGAGGCACGGGTCCGTACAGGGTGCCCCACCCGCTCCTGCTCCCCAGGGAGCTTTCCCCGCAGCTGCCCCCGCACAACCAGCACCCCTCCACCACTGTTTTGTCTCTTTTCTGTCTGTTTTCGTTTTAGCCCAGGCTGGCTTTGAGCTCTGTGTAGGATAGATTGGCCTGAGCAGTCCTCCTGCCTCAGCCTCCTGAGTGCTAAAATGGCAGGCCTCTTCCTCTATCACCATTTTTGTGCATTTGGAAGCCCCTGCCGCCCACCGTTCTTTCACCCCTGACCTCCCTCCCTTTTGCTGGCCAGCGGGATGGGGCAGGGCCACGCACACACCCCACCGGCTGAGCCCCGTCTGCCCGGCCTCGCCCCGCAGAGCCCCCCGGGAATCATGAGCGTGCTGGACGACGTGTGTGCCACCATGCACGCCACGGGCGGCGGCGCGGACCAGACACTGCTGCAGAAGCTGCAGGCGGCCGTGGGCACTCACGAGCACTTTAACAGCTGGAGCAGCGGCTTCGTCATCCACCACTACGCGGGCAAAGTGCGTGACCCCCGGCGCGTGGGCCTGGTCCCTCGGGCTCCCCCTCACCGCCCCCAGCGACTCCTGGTAGCCGCTCTCCCACTCCCAGACTCCAAAGGTCCTGCCCGGGCCCCAGCCAGGGCTGCAGGACTCCACCGACCCGGCCCTCCAGCGGCTAAAGCCCACGTTCCCGCCCCTGTGACTCAGGACGCCGCCCCCAGGGAGCCCAGCCCACGCAGCACCCCCGACCCGCCGTCCTGAACCATAGCTTCCACTGAGCCGGGCCAGTACATAACCCATCCTCTCACGGCGGAGCATCTGGGCCCAACCACCCCGCCCCACATCCCACCCTCCACCTCCCTTCCCCTAGGTCTCCTACGACGTCAGCGGCTTCTGCGAGAGGAACAGAGACGTTCTCTTCTCTGATCTCATCGAGCTGATGCAGACCAGTGAGCAGTGAGTGGCCGTGGGCCTGGGGATCTGGCAGAAGCTCACGGGGTGGAGGGGGACTCGGGACCACTCCATCTTTCCCAAGCTCCCTCCCATGGACCTGTGGGGATGGCTGTGGTGCTGGGAAATGGCTCTGATCTAAAAGTAACTGTAAATCTTGTAGATAGCCCATAGGTCCGTCAACAAATAAATGGATAAAGGAAATGTGGCATTTACACACAAGGGAGTACTACTCAGCCATAAAGAAGGGTAAATTTAAGTCATCTGTAGGAAAATAGACGCAATTTGCGATTGCAATGCTAAGTAAAACAAATGAGATGCAGTTAAATTTCAGTTTCTCTTACATGAGAAACCCGAAGTATAAAGTATGTAAAAGGCAAAATAAACGCTAGATGATAGAAAACAGGGAGGTAGACCTCTTGCAGATGGAAGGGGATCTAGGGACGGAGGGAAACGGGAGAGAAGGGACAAGGATTAAGGTCCAAGATGCACTTGTACCAGCTCCCAAGGATGACTCTATTCTATATGGATTCCACCCCCAGCACGGGCAAAAATAAAACAAAACAAAAAGTAACTCCAGGTCCACAGGGAGCAGTGCATCCTGGGAAATCTGGTTTCGGTTCCTCAAACCTCCTGTCCGGAGCGCCTCTCTACAAACCCAGGCGCCGGGGCTGGGGATTTAGCTCAGCGGCAAAAGCGCCTGCCTGGCAAGCGCAAGGTCGTGAGTTCGGTTCCCGGTACCGGAGAAAAACCAAAAAAAAAAAAAAACAAAACAAAACAAAACAAAAAACCCAGGCACCGCCAGGGGGGCAGTTACCCTTCCGCGCAGGGGAACGAGCTCGGCGTGCTTCGGCTTTCTCAGCTGGACCTCGCGGGGCTCCATCCCACCACCGCCACCTCTGTGCGCCCGGTGCTATCATTCAGCTCTTTCTACCTCAAAATGTTACACAGTGGTCGGCGCCACTGGCACCTCCGCAGGCTGAGGCAGGAAGCACATCGGAACACAGCGCTGGTCCTGGGGTGACAGAAAGGGAGAGGCTGAACTTGAACTAGAAAGCAGAGACACGCAGCCTACAGCACCAACTCCAGAGCAAGCAGAGAGTCTCAGAAATCGACGTCCGTCTGGGAAGAGCAGAGCAACAGGAATGTGCAGGCCAGGGTAGATCACAGGCACGGTTCTAGGAAGCGGAGACAGGGCAGACAGGACAGGGACTGGCTGACTGATGATTGGCTGGTTATTGTGCAGGGGATGGGCTCCAGGGATTCATGCAGGGGTCCTCAGAGCAAAGGGAAAGTTTTGAGGCTCTAGAGGCAAAAGAGAGAAGTGTACATTCAGTTTATTGGTCTTGGAAACCCGAGGCGGCAGCTGGGTCGGCATCAGTTCGCGGAGCAAGTACTCTGTCCGGAATAGCTCGTCCGAACTGCCACAGTGGTTTTGCTTTGTTTTGGCTTTTAGTTTTTGTTTTGTTTTGCCACACTAAGTTGCTCAAGCTGGGCTTGAACTTTAGATCCTCCTGCCTCAGCCTCCCCGAGTGCTGAGATGACGGCATATGTCACTACACATATCTCGCAGCACAGCTCAATTGTGGCTAGGCCATGTTTTGGGGACCTAACTAGTCCATGTGACCAATGGCTGCCATATTGGAAACCCAGGAGCCGCCATATTGGAAAAGCACAGAACTACAACTTTGGTTTTCCAAGTGGGATCTCTGGACCGGCACCATCATCATGGTCTGGAAATTACTGCGTCACAGTCCAGACCTGAGAAAGAGAAACATCCAGTGGTACGTGGCAGTGTATTTCCACAAATTCTCCTGTCTGATGCCTGAAGTCTGAGAACCACTGGGAACAGCTTTGAAAAAAACTAAGTAGGTGAAAGGCCAGAGAGAAGGAAGAGCATTCATTCCTTAGTTTAACTGTGGTGAAACATGTAACATAGATTTTATTTATGTACTTAATTAGTTGGATCATTGGTTGGTTTTTTTGAGGCAGTGTCTCACTCGCTGTGTAGTTCAGACTGGACTTGAACTCATACTCAAAGTGATCTTCCTGCCTCAGCCTCCCAAGTGCTGGGATATAGGCATGCACCACCATGCCCAGCTATTTTTAACTACCCGAAGTGTACAATTTATTGACATTAAATACAGTGCCCAGCAACCATTGCTCCTACCTAATCCCAGAACCTTTCCATCATCCTCACAGAAACATCCTTACCTATTAGGTGGTAATTTCCCATCAGGTGCTGAGGGAAAGTCTTACTGAGATGAGGGGAGGGTAGTGAGCGGGCCACAGAGATTTAGCCCATTCCAGATGCCGAGCACTTAGGATGTTCCCCACCTGCGGCTACCACACACAGGTGAGGCCGTGAGCATCTCTGCATGTACTTCTTTGCACATACGTGGGATGGTACCCAGGAGGAGACCTGCCCTATTGCCCCAGGTACTTCACCCATGGACATGGTTTTCTACTTAGTTGTTGTAGTTCACCTGCTACCCAATTATGCACGACTGCCTTAGCCACTTTTTTTTAGTTTTTAGTTTTTTATTAGTCCACATTTGTAGTACCCAGTGATCACATTCTTTGTATGGAGTTGGTCCACGTACAGGACACACCTCAATTCTTTTTTCCTCCCCTCCCCTCCCTTCCCCTCCTCCATCTCGATCCCCTTCCCATTTGATTGGTTTTGTTTTGTTTTGTTCTGTTTTTGTTTTTCTTCCAGTACCAGGAATCGAACTCATGACCTTGCACTTGCCAGGCAGGCGCTGTGCCACTGAGCTAAATCCCCAGCCCCCCTTCCCATTTGAGAAGGCTCTATCTCCCTACTTCTCATTAGCTATCTTTTATTTGTTCTGTATTTATACGCTGAGTTTCATATGGGAGAAACCATGTGACATTTAAGCTTGTGTATCTGACTTATGTCACTTAACATTATGGCCTCAAGGGCACCCACTTTCCTACAAATACCTCAAGTTTGTCCTCTTTGATGGTCAGGTGCTCTCCACTGTGTGCAAATATCACCTGCAACTTAGAGTAGGAGCTTTTTCCAGCTCCCAGTGTGTAGAGGCTTCAGTCTCAGGCAGCTGTCCCCAAGGCGGGGCCGCACGTGGCAGAGGGGCCTGGCGGAGGAAAAGCTGCTCCCCTCATGGCCCGCAGGAAGCAGAGAGTAGAAGGAAGCCAAGCCCTTCCGGGTCAGGTCCCACTTTCCACCAGCACTCAGCCCTGATGTCCCTATAACCCAGTCACCTTCCCAGGTCCCTCCTGAGATCACCTGAGGCTCCAGGGGGACATTCAATATAAACCAAACACTGATCATGAAGACTAAAAAGTACAGATAAATCAAGGAACCGGAAGGACAAGGCCTCCTTCCCACCTCCCCCTCCCCCACCGCAGCTCCTGTCCACCTTCAGAGAAGACCCGTATTTGGCAGTGTGGCGCTGCTGCAGCCCTGGCTCTGGGCCAGCATGCTCCAGGGCCCGGCTGCCCCTGACCCCCTGTCCCCTGCCCAGGGCCTTCCTCCGGATGCTCTTTCCTGAGAAGCTGGACGTGGACAAGAAGGGCCGCCCCAGCACTGCCGGCTCCAAGATCAAGGTGGGCCTGGGATGTGTAAGACGGAGCAGCGTGCGGGGGTCCCGCCACAGGCCCCCTCCTCTCCCGGTTCCAGCGTCCATCCCCAGTCTCTCCGAGGCCCCCTCGGCCAGCAGTGTCTCCCTCCAGCTCCGGGTTTAGGGAGCTTGACTGGACAAACGTCCTTGGTCGTTTGCTACTCTTTGTGTGTGTGTGTGTGTGTGTGTGTGTGTGTGTGTTATGGCGCTGGGGCTGGAACCACAGGGCCTTGCACAAGCTCTGCCCCCCGTTTCCTTTTAATGTGGTGAAGTCTGCATACCACACACTCGCTGTCTCTCCTGCGTTCTAGTTCAGCGGCATTCGCCGCATGCACGTGCTTGTGCAGCCGCCCCCACCATCGCCTCCAGAGCTCTCGTCTTCCCACACTCAACTCTGTCCCCAAGAAGCACTAAGTCCCCAGCGCCTCCCCGACACCCAGCATCTACTTCCTGTCTCTGTGGATCCCATGGCTCTGGGAACTCTCCGGGCATAGAACTGCGCGGTGTTCGTCATTTTGTGTCTGCTGATGTCACCCAGCATCCTGTGCTCAAGTTCCATCCATGCTGTAGCATGTGTCACAGTTTCCTCCCTTGGCCGGGCGTGGTGGTGCACACCTGTGATCCCAGCACTCAGGAGGCTGAAGCAGGAGGATCGCTGCAAGTTTGAGGCCAGCCTGGGCTACATAGTGAGTTCAAGGCCAGCCTGGGCTACACAGTGAGACCCTGTCTGAAAAAAAAAAAAAAAAAGTTTAGAATTTCTTCCTTAACATACCTGAATAATATTCCACGGTAAGGATAAACTATATCCCTGCCTATTTATTCATGTGTTGGACATTTAGTTGGCTTCCGCCTTTGGGCTACTGTGACTAATGCCGCTATGAACATGGGGTCCTACCCTGATAATATGCTAACAACTGTGTGTTCGTGTGTTTGTTTTTGAGACAGGGTTGAACTTACTGTGAAGCCACGCAGACCTGAACTCACAGTGATTCTCCTGCCTCAGCCTCCCGAATGCTAGGAATACAGGCTAACACTCATTTATTGAGCACTCACTTGGTGCTGACTGCAACTGGGGCACTTTACCCACATGAGGAACTAGCTCAGCCCCACCTGAGAGGCTGAAAAACCAAGGCTCAGAGAGGGGCAGTCCCCGCCTTGGTCACACAGCAGAGTCTGGGTCCGTCAGCACCTCCCCCAGCCCCTGCCATCTGGAATGATTTCCAGACTGCATCCCCTTTTCCCTGGGGTGACTCAAATGCACAACTCAAGCCAGGCATGGTGGTATATGCCTATAATCCTAGCCCTCTGGAAGGCTGAGGCAGGAAGGTGGTACGTTCAAGCCCAGCCTGGGCAGCTTAGTGAAACCTGTCTCACAAAAGGGCTGATGCACAACCCAAGGCTGACCTCTCAAGTGCACACACAGTTCCTGACTCCTAAAGTCCCTGAGCCCTGAAGGAGAGGCAGAAATGTTCTGGGCAACTTGTTTTTCCTGAGGGTTCTGTTACTCAGTCAACAAACATTCACTGAGCTCTTCCATGTACCCAAGTATGTGTTGAGTGCCACAGACATAAAAGCTCCTCGCCCTGGGCTGGGGCTGGTGGACGCCCAATACCAATGCCACTCCCGGAGCCACTCAGGAGACCCAGAGGTGGGCGTGGAGGGGCCAAGCGGAGGAGCATCTGTGCACCCCTCACCTCTGCCTTCTCCTGTGACCCAGAAACAAGCCAACGACCTGGTGGCCACGCTGAAGAGGTGCACACCCCACTACATCCGCTGCATCAAGCCCAACGAGACCAAGAGGCCCCGGGACTGGGAGGAGAGCAGGTGACGCCCCGCGCACGGCCGCCCATGCCCCCCCGACCCACACGCCGTCCCCAGTCCGGGGCTCACTCCGGCCTGGCCCCTGAGACCAGGACACAGTTAGAATTGACGGGGACGCCCCCACCTCCTAGACGGGCCCACAGGCCAGCACAGCGCCCCCACCCACTCCGGAGAAGTGACCCCAGGGCTAACCCCAGGGACGAGCACAGACGCCTGTCCCCGCACCGCACCCCAAGAACGGGCTCCCAGGCTGGGCCCCAAAGCGCCCCTGACCCCAGGGCGCACCCCCAGCTGTCCGGGCATGCATCCAGACCCCAGGCCCTTGGTCTGCCCTCTCCCGCCCCAGAGTCAAGCACCAGGTGGAGTACCTGGGCCTGCGGGAGAACATCCGGGTACGCAGGGCCGGCTTCGCCTACCGCCGCCAGTTTGCCAAGTTCCTGCAGAGGTGAGGCCCTGCGCCCCGCGCCCGGCGCCCCCTGCGTGCCCACAGCGACACCCGCTCCAAGCCGCACTGCCCTCCGCCCCAGGTACGCCATCCTGACCCCAGAGACGTGGCCGCGGTGGCGTGGGGACGAACGCCAGGGCGTCCAGCACCTGCTCCGGGCCGTCAACATGGAGCCGGACCAGTACCAGATGGGGGGCACCAAGGTCTTTGTCAAGAACCCCGAGTCGGTGAGTAGGGAGGGGAGCGAGGGAGGGGAGAGCGGCCAGAGACCAACAGAATGGGAAAGAAGAGCGCACATCTGTTCTCCGAGCACTTGGGAGGCTGAGGCAGGAGGATCCTTGCGAGTTCGAGGCCCGCCTGGGCTGCAAAGTGAGCTCAAGGCCAGCCTGAACTGCATAGCGAGACCCTGTCTCAAAAAGACTAAAAAAAAAAAAAAGAATGGGAAAGAACACAGGAGAGAAACTAAGAGAAATTGAAAAGGGGAGGACAAGGGAGGTTGAGAAAGAGAGAGAATCAGAAAAGGAATTGAAAGAACAGAGACAGAAAAATCAGAGATTGTATCATCCCAAGTACTCAGGAGGCTGAGGCATGAGGATCACCACAGTTCAAGGCTACACAGTGAGTCCAAGAGCAGCCTAGGGGCTGGGGATTTAGCTCAGCAGCACAGC